TACACTGATTGTTTTTCTAATGTCAAATAATCCTTGCATCCCTGCTATGAATACCACTTGATCATGATGTATTATTTTTTTGATATGCTGCTGGATTCTGTTGGCTAGGATTTTGTTGACAATTTTTGCATTAACAACCTGTGATATGCAGATGATACAACCTTGCTTGCTGTAAGTGAAGAGGACTTAAAACATTTACTAATGAAGATCAAAGAGCATAGCCTTCGGTATGGATTATATCTCAATGTCAAGAAAACAAAAATCCTCACTACTGGACCAATAAACTACATTCTTATCAACAGAGATAAGATTGAAGTTGTCAAGGACTTCATTCTTCTTGGATCAACTATCAACACTCACAGAAGCAGCAGTCAAGAGATCAGATGACATATTGCATTAGGCAAATTTGCTGCACAGGAACTTTTTAAAGGGTTGAAGAGCAAAGATGTCAGCTTGAGGACTACGGTGCACCTGACCCAAGCCATGGTATTTTCAATAACCTCATATGGATGCGAAAGCTGGACAGTGAATAAGGAAGATTGTAGAAGAATTGATGCCTTTGAATTATGGTGTTGGAGGAGAATAATAAAAGTGCCATGAACTGCCAAAAGAACAAATAGATCTGTTTTGGAAGAAGTACAGCCAGAGTGCTCCTTAGAGGCCAAGATGACCAAACTTCGCCTCTCATACTTTGGACATATTGTCAGGAGGGAACAGTCGCTGTAGAAGGATGTCATGCTTGGTAAGATGGAGGGTCAGAGAAAAAGAGGAAGACCCCCAACGAGATGGATTGGCCAGGTGGCATCATTGATGGACTCAAGTGTGGCAGCAGTAGTGAGGTTGGCCCAGGATCGGACATTGTTTCCTTCTGCTGTGCATGGGGTTGCTATGCGTCAGTTCTGACTCAATGCACCTAACAACAACAACATGTTCATGAGGGATATTGATCTATAATTTTCTTTCTATGTGATGTCCTTCCATGGTTTTGGTATCAGGGTTATGATTGCTTCATAAAATGTATTAGGAATTTGTCCATCCTCTTCTATATTCTAGAATACTTGAGTAGAATTGGTGACAACTCATCCCTGAATGTTTTGTGGAACTCACCACTGAAGTCATCTGGACCTGGACTTCTTTTGGTTGGCAGTTTTTTGATGACCTGATCAATGTCTTCTTTTGTTATGCGTCTATTCAAGTCTTCTACTTCACTCTGTATGAATTTAGGTAGACTGTGTTTTTCTAAAATGTATCCACCTCTTCTAAGTTTTCAAAATTTTTGGAATACAATTCTTCATTAGTATTCTGTTATTATCCTTTTGATTTCTTTTGGTTCCATTGTGAAATTGCCCATATGGTTTCTAATGCGTGTTATTTGTGTCTTCTCCCTCTTTTCTTTTGTTAGGTTTGCCAATGGTTTGTCAATTTTATTAGTCCTTTCAAAGAACCAGCTTCTTGTCCTGTTGATTCTTTCTATAGTTTTTCTGTTTTCTATCTCCATTTCTTTCTGCTCTGATCTTTATTATTTCTTTTCTTTTGGTGACTGTTGGTTCCTTCTACTGGTCTATTTCTAATTGCTGAAGATGCTGTGATAATGTGTTAATTTTGGCTCTTTCTTCTTGTTTTGTGTGCACATTTATCGCAATAAATAGTCCTCTCTGGACTGCTTTTTCCATGTCCCAAAGATTTGGTATGTTGTGTTTTCATTCTCATTTGTTTCTAGGAACCTTTGTGAATTCATGCTTAGTTTCTTCTATTATCCAGTCACTTTTCAGCAGAGTGTTATTCAGTTTCCATGTATTAAACTTTATTTCCTTGGTCTTTTAATGTTGTTTTCTAGGTTTTATGGCATTGTCTCAAAAGATGCTCTGTAGTGTTTTGATATTTGTTAATTTATGGAGGCTTGCTTTGTGACCTAAAATATGGTCAATTCTGGAGAATGTTCCATGTGTACTGGGAAAGAATATGTATTGTGCTATTGTTGGGTTGAATATTCTGTGCATGTCTATGAGATCAAGTTGGATGATTGTGCTGTTTAGTTATTCTGTAACTTTGTCGAGTTTCATTCTGGTTGTTCTATCCCTTTTTGAAAGTGGCATATTAAAATCTCTCATAATTGCTGATTTACCTATTTCTTTCTTCAATTCTACTAGGGTTTGCTTTATATATCTTGGTGCTCTTTCACTGAGAGCTTAGATGTTAATTATGGTTATGTTATCTTGCTCAATTGACCCTTTAATCATGAGACAGTGTCCTTCTTTATCTCTTATGGTAGATTTTACCTTAAAGTTGTTCCTTTTTACCAGAGATTAGCATTGCCACACCTACTTGCTTATTATTGACGTTAGCTTGGTATATTTTTTTCCATCCTTTAACTTTTAGTCTGTTTTTGTCTTTGTGTGTAAGGTGTGTCTCTTGCAGGCAGCATATTGAAGGGTCTTGTTTTCTTATCCACTGGTCTCTTCACTGGTGCATTTAATCCATTGACATTCTGTGTATTTATCAATAAATATGGATTAATTGCTGTCGTTATGTTAATGCTTTTGTGGTGCTGTTTGTTCCTTTGTTTTGCATGCCTTCTTATGTTGAGTTCATGGTTCATGGTTTTTGTGCTAATTCTTGTCAGTTTCTTGTTAGTTTTAATGTTTCCTTGTTCTACTTGGATCTTCATTTTTATGGAAAGTTGTGATATATTAATTTTATTTTGAGTTACCCTACAGCCTATTAAGTTTTCCATGTGTTTAAGACAGTCTATTGTATCCTGCCATCTAACTGACCTCCTCAGCACCTGGATCTCTGTTCCTATATTTTTACTTTCTTTGACATTGTTAATATTTTGATCTTTGGTTGACCTCAAAGGTCCTCTGTATTCATTTCTGTAATTCTGTTCTCTTCTGAACTCTGCTACCTGTCTCAACTGAGTTCCAGGTGATGTTGTCACATCTGTCAATCTCTGGTTGTTGTCTCTTCTTGCTGGTTTTCATTCCAAAGAACCCCCTTTATGATATTTTGAAGCACTGGATTGGCTTTGTCAAAATCTCTTAGTTTCTGTTTATCCTGGAATGTTTTGTTTGCACTATCATATATGATTGACAGTTTTGCTGGATAGATGATTCTTGGTTGGCAGTTTTTTTTTTTTTTTTTCTTTTAGGGTTTTATATATGTCCCCCCATTGCCTTCTTGCCTGCATGGTTTCTGTTGAGAATTCAGAGCTTAATCTGATTTGCTTGCCTTTGTGGGTAACAACTCTCTTTTCCCTGGCTGTTTTTAGGAATCTCTCCTTTTTGTTGATTTTTGATAGCTTGATTATTATAAGTCTTGGTAATTTTCTTTTGGGTTCTATCCTTCCTGGGGTTCTTTCAGCTTCTTTAATGTTTATTTTCTCATCCTTTCAAGATGTTAGGGTAATTTAATTCCAGTAGTTCTTCAACTATCTCCTCTGTGGACATCTGTGATTCTTCCTGTTCTGGAATGCCAATAATTCTTAAGTTATTCCTCTTCATGTTATCCAGCATAAACCTTAGACTCTCTTCAGATTTTTTCATCCTTTTTTTCTGCTTGCTTTTCTATCTTAGCAGTATTGAGAGATTTGTCTTCCAGATCACTGGTTCTGGTTTCCATCTCTTCACTTCTACTCCTTTGCCCTTTCAGTGTATTGTTCATTTCTGAGATTTTATTATTAATCATCTAGACTGCTTTTTGCAGGTTTTGAATTGTCTCCAATGCTGTATCTATCTTGTTTGATTGCTCCTGTAGCACTTTCCTGACTTCTTCCTTATTTTCCTCTACTCTTTTTTGGAGCATTTGAATTTGTTTCTGTAACATTCTTCTAAATTCCTTCTCAGGCAGATTTAGAGCCTGCTCTTCTACTGGAAAGTCTGTGTCTGCCTCCAATTCATTTGTCTCAGTTATTCTTTTCTGTTTTTGACATGTATTGAGGTTTTTTTGTTGTGTTTTCTTGGACATTTTCAGTAGTTATGTGGGTTTTAATGCATAAATGGATGTATGTTGCTATGTTGTTAAGCTTACTGAGTGTCTCCTGGTGGATATGATGTGGAGATAGGCTTCCCTTTTCACATGTAATGCCTAGCAGCTGGCATTTGCTCCCGTTCAGATGGTAGGATATTACAGGGTATGCCTGTAGCTTGGCTATATGAGCAAAGTTGCTGTCTCTTCTTGGGTAAGGTAGGGGGAGAAAGCTCCCACCCCCAGGACAACAGTGAGACCAAAAGAACCAAAGAGAGAAACAATATAATAGCAGAGACAGAAACCACCAATCAAAAACAAAAATAAAATTTTAGTCAACTGTCCAGTAGCCTTTGCTGTTCAGGCAGGGATAAAGGGCCCCATCCAGGTCAACTTTAGGGCTGGGTCCCAGAGTCAGACATCATAAGAAGCACTCTGAGGGACTCCTCTCTGTGCCGTGTGAACACTGTGGACGCAATGCTGGGCCCTTCTGGGGTGTGCTCCTGCACACCTGAAGGTGTCTGGTCTGGGCAATGATTGCACAATCAGGGGTAAGAGGAAAGATATGTGAAAAATGAAAACTGAAAGATAAAAAATTGGTCACACCGCTCCTTCCAGACATGCAGCTCTGTGGCTTGTAGTGCTGTGTCACTACCTCTGCTTGGCTGTGGCCCCACCCTGCAATCTCAGTCCAGGCCATCCAGATCAATTCAGAAATCACCGTACTTCCTTCCACAGGCAGATTTCTACACAGGTGGGTGTGAGAAACTGGCGCCCAGAGCCTTATAAAAGATCCAATACTCTGGCACTGTTCTGTGAAAGCTGCTTCTCTGTTTTTTCTGCACTTTTGCAGAACAGCTGTTCCTACCCGTCTCTGCTTCACCCACCCCTAAACCGGAAGTGTCTTTGGGTCTTATGATGCTAGAGAAGTCATATTTCCCCAGCAAAATGTTTTATCCAAAGTAAAACACTACAATGGTGACCACATGCGAAATAAAAATTTGCAAAGAAGAAAAAAGAAACTTGAAAATACTTACCTTTTTCCATGCTTTTGCTATAGATTCATGTAAACTATAAGGAATTAACACCTGCAAGCCTTCACATGTACCATATATTTGACGGCATATGGAAATAAAAGCCCCTGTAACCTCAGGCAACGTCTCTGATCCAGAAAAAATAGGAATATCTTCATCAAGAAGTTTTTTCGTAAACTGAGCAATTGTATGAGCACCTGTAGGACTAAAAGTTGACACTTAAAAGTGATTCCAAGTTCATGTAGTTTCAGCATCGTAAAATACTACCCAAAAGGCTAACTTTGTCTCAAAACTTGCTCCTTTTTAGTCTTCCTCTATGCTTCTCATATATGTCAATATTCTTGTTTTTACCATCTAGCCCTCTACCGTGAAGTCAAGTTCAACTCACAGTATCCCTATAGGACAGAGAATAATGTCCCATAGGGTTTCTAAGACTGTAAATCTTTAAAGAAGCAAACTGTCACATTTTTCTTCTACTGGTGAACTTGAACCACCAACCTTGATGTAAGCAACTGAGTGCTTTAACCACTGTGCCATTAGAGCTCCTTTACCAACATACAGATGTCTAAAAACAGAAGAAAAGCAATAAAATTACACGTTTATAAAGATATAGATTCCAGAGGACCATATCTAAGTATTCTTGATTCTATAGTAAAAACATAATCCTGTTCTCCACCACTAGCACTTATTAACACTGTCTTCGTCACATTAACAGGATGGAGTTATCCTGTCTCACAGACTGGAGAAAATTTGAAAAAAAAAATCACTAATATGTAGTAAGCATTTAGTAATCGTTTACAACATATAAGACACTGTTCTAAGTATTTTAAATGCATTAACTCATTTAATCCTTACAATAATTCAATGAGGTAGGTACATTACTAATTAATATTTACACATTAAGGAGTGTGTGCTCTTTAGTTAAATCCAATGCTTATCCCAGTATGCCACCAGGGCTCCTTTGGATATGCCAGGAAACAAAATCATTTTTCTTATCCTTCAGTCTTTATTTGGATCATTACATAGTGTTCTTTAACTTGTTTCTTTAGTTCCCTATATTTTCTATAAATTCATAATTAGACTTCAAGGTTTGATTACATTTGGGTTAAATTAGTTCTCATTTTATGAGGATTAAAATAACTGCATACGAAGATACTATTTATTACATGACATCATGAGGCCCACAGTATCAGGTTGCTGGTTGTTCTACTTACGTGCGGCTAAAATCAATAGGTCAAACGGCATCAGCTGGAACCCATCTAATAAAATGTCCTTTCATCAACATTTCACATAATGAATTTCACATGTATGGATATAACTTCCTAGTTTCACTTTTTCATTAGAGGTTACCAACAGGGGATTTTCTAATTATATCATTGTTTTTGCATCTATTAGCTAGAATTCTTCTTTTCATTACAGTAAAATACATGTGTATTGGAAAGACCAGAAAAAAATGCTTGAATCTTTTCTTTTTTAAATCAATTTTCAAAGTAATGAGTTGGTGCCTCTGCAACATCAACAGATAAACTGATAAGGCCTTTTTTATATGTGTTGCTTTATTTCTGTTAAGTGCTGCTCAGTTGGTTCTGACCCATAGCGACCCTATATTGGGTTTCCAAGAAGCGGCTGGTGAGCTTGAACCACTTACCTTGAGTTTCAAACTGACTTTACATGTCAGTACATTAATCTGCAGCACCACATCACTAATCCTTTATTAACATATATATATCATATATATATATATAT